AGCCCAAACGGCATCCTTCGGTATCGAAAATATCCTTTATGTGTTGAGATGACCAAATATTCTTGGGATTCTGGCTCAACGGCCATTTGTAGATACGCGTCCTTTAAATCTATCACCTTAAAACGGTTCCCCCCTTGAATCTTAACCAATAAGTCATCCAGCGTAGGAATAACGTGATGATCATATAATAGATGGGGATTTAAACCAGGGATATGAACCCCGACAAAAAAAGGGTCCGGGTTCGGGTCCGGTAATAAATTAAAAAAGAACCCGGATCCAGGGTTCTGGTCCGGGTTCAGAGGAAACATAAAAATAATGACTCAAAATAAGACTTTTTTTCATTCATTTTTTATTATACTTCAATATATACACATTTATAATTCGAAATGAAATAATTTATATTTTAAATATTTTATTCAACAGCACAATCATGATATCTTCTAAAATATCATTCTTCAGATTTCCACGTAAATTAGTCAACGATGAAAATCCACGTTCTGCGCTTACCTAAAATAGATAGTCATTTTTATAATACATAAATTATTGTACTGTGTCGCCGGTACAGCCATGACGATTCTAGAAAAGGTATATAATTCTGGATATATTGAAGAATTTTCCTCCCATAATTTTAAAATGTTTGCATCTCTATTTATTCTCATAACTTCCGAAAACTTTTCTATTAAAGATACAATAGATATTTTTTCTCCTTTCTATCAGATGATAATTTAATTTTTTTTCTCTATCTAATAGTAAAATTTCCAGATCATCAATATCGTTATCATTATCATTGTTATCGCTACAACCAGTAGATATTGTTGTAACCACCAATGTATTGTAAATAATAGAGTTTTGGGTATGACATAAATCTTCAAGATGGTCTATAGCCATTTGTTTTTGCTCACTACTTAATAAAACCTGATATCGCGGGTCTAAATATATCGAAGCATATACAACACTATTTTGTAAATATTGTTGCTCTCTTATTTTCATATTTTCTAATACTTCATTTGAAAAAGAACTTGTTAATCTCCCTAACTCTAATCGACATCTTAACAATATGCCATAAAAATCCGATAAACATAATTGTTCAGCTTGCACTCTTAATGTTGTTATTTTTAAAGGAACCAGCACACTAGTATGCTCTTTTACTTGATTCCAATCATCTTCTGACAAAATGATTTCACATGCTTATATGATAAAATCATTACAGAAATCTTTCAAACTTAATAATCGCTCTAGCATCATACACATAGAGGACCACGTGTTGTGCAATCTAAAATTGCCATTTACCTTTTCATGGATTTTAATATTCTAACAATTGTGGGAGTTCTTAAATATTTTACAACATCCCTTGCTTTATCAATTATAGTTTTAAAGTGACTATTTTTTATGGAGATTCCACGAAAAAAATTAATAAAATTATAAAAATTTTATATTTTTTTTAAAAAATTAATAAAATTATAAAAATTATATATTATTTTTTAAAAATTAATAAAATTATAAAAATTTTATATTATTTTTTAAAAATTATATTTTTACATTAATTTAAAAAAAAAATTTAAGTTAAAAATTTTTAACACCCTGAACCCTTGGACCCTCCACTTTTTAAAAGGGTCCGGGTTCACATCCCTGATTTAAACTCACCTTGAAATCTGCGCAAATACGAATCTCGCCATTGTTTTTCCTGACATTTACTGTTGGGGTTGCCCATGGCACCCTAGTTATAGAGGAATCGATGGGCTCCAAAATCTCCTCAGCCACAAGGCGATCAAGTTCTAGTTCAACCACTCTGCGTAATGGAAATGACACTCGACGAGTTGGAAACGATTTTGGAACAGCCGTATCTTTTAATTGGAGTCGCACAGCGAAATTACGTATCAACCCCGGTTTGCCGTCAAAAACAACTTTAAACTGTTTAGCTAACAAATTCCCCATTACGTCTTCCGTTAGTGACATCCTCGATCCGTGTGAGCATCGATTGTATTCGAACGGCCCAACGGGGGGGGCTTCGGCCCTCGGGGGCACCGATTGTATTCGAGCGGCCCATCGGGGCATCGTTGGTTTGGTGGCAACTTGAAGTTATTGTTTTTCTATTCGTTTTGAGAACCTGTTGTATGCTTACCTGTCTCGGTAACTCAAACCCAAATGCTAAAATCCATGGCAACCCAAACAGAGGTAGGTCATTTGACTTTATTATAATAACTGATAAATTGCGAATTTCCTTCCCCACTTGCATACGAACCATGGCTTCACCCATAAGATCCAAAGGCTTATCTCCATAGGCTGCTTATGGGTTTGTGGAAGATGTTAGTGGTTTGCCAATTTTCTCCCAAATATTCAATCCTATAATAGAGGCTTGTGCTCCTGTATCATAATCAAAAGTGACACTAAGTCCATTTATTTTGGCTGTGATCTTTGCCCTTTTATTTAATCCCCTTGTCCAGAGATTATTAATTGAATCACTTGAGTGAAAATGTGGTTTCACTGAGTTTAAATTGCGATATACAAGCTTACTACGGCAACATGCTGCGAAATGTTCGGTTCTTTGGCATTTAAAACATGTTTTGTCTTTAGCTGGGCATAAATATCTTTCATGCCAGCCGGCACAATTCTTACATTTATTATCGTAAAACTTATTATTAGGCTCCCTATAATTAATGTCTCTCTTAACACACTCTTGTGAATTAGGCATTTTATGTTTGCAATCTTGCGGTCTGACACTATTTACCAAGTCTTTCTTGATAGTCATTTCGTTTTGAGCATTTTCTGTTGCCGTGGCCATATCTAGCACGAACTGGAACGTCAGGGGCTTTTTGTTCACATCCAATGCTAAAGGATATTTAGTCCTAAGTTCAACTTCGAGACCTGATAAATCTATACCCGCAACTAATTGATCTCTTAACCGGCTGTCAACTTCTGACGGCGTAAAACAACTCGCTTTCGCAGTTATTTTGATTCTATTAGCGAACTCTCCAATTGGTTCATTCTCATTCCTAATTAACCTTATGAAGTCGAATCTACTACCGAAAATGGTTTTATTCTTCTCAAAAATATGTAGCGAGACACTCCTTATCTTATCAAATTTAGTTGTTAGAATGGTTTCAGGAAATAAATATTGTTCGAGAATGTCAATGCCCTCAGCGCCAAAACTCACCATGAACAGGTCCTTATTTTCTTGATCGGTCGGTGTCCAGTTCTTTAGTCTTAACGTTGCGCCTCAAAATTGGAACCAACGTTGTATAGACCCATTAATTTGATATTTTTCTAACTTATCAATTATACTAGTATTTTTGGACTGAGGCATAATTTATAAAATTAAAAACTATTTTCTTATTTGTTTTAATTAGAATATTAAAATCCCATCCTCGTCACCACTTTCACGAAAGTAGAACCATTATTTATATTTATTTATTTCTATAACTCATTTACAATAGGTATCAGTTTTCATTGACATTTTATTCAGTATAATTAAACATAAGGTGCAACTTAATTACAAATGGCGAGATATAATTACACGTTAATAGATTGATGTGTACATAATACATTAGGAAGTTAAACAACACCTATTATATTAATCATAAATATATATATATATAATCATATCTAACTGGCAAATATAATATATAATATGATAAAATATTACAATAGATTACTTCTTTACTACAATATTAACATCACTCAATAGTTATATATAAATTATTTAATAGATTTTTTTTTAAATATAAATTGATTTTATATACTATATAAAGAACAGAAATATATTGTATTTTTAGTTAAATATTTTATAAATAAATTTAATAAATAAATATTTTAAAATTACTTTTTTAATCTTTGTCCAATTCCCTGCCCACCTTAACAAATAATTAGGGTGATTCTAGACAATTAATTTTAAACATTAAATTTTACGATTGGTAGTAGAGTCAATTCTTTAACTTGCTCTATTCGCACTTTAGTCAACTAATTATAACAAACTACGGCTATCGTAGTTTAATCATTTTTATTTAACATTAATTACGAAAATTCGCTGTTTGGTCATTATTAATTTGGGAAAATCACAATTTTGTTGTTTTAATTGAACCCAAATTACGGCAATTTGCAGTTTAATCATTTTAATTGAACAATTATTATGGCAATTAGTAGTTTGCGATGGTGATTCGCAGTTTTGTCAACTAATTTTTACATTAATTACAGAGATTAGTAGTTGAGTCATTTTAATTTAACGTAAACTGCGGCGATTCGAGTTTAGTCAACTAATTTTAGCATTAGCTTAGGTATTTTAACATTATTTCCATTCGTAGTTTAGTGAACTAATTTTAATTAATTACAGCGAGTCGCAGTTTAATCAACTAATTATATATTAATTACGGCGATTCTTAGTTTAGTCATCTATTTTATAAATATCATTTTAATTTGGAATATGGCGTAACTGAAGGATTTGCTGTCACAACTCACAACAGCTGATTTATGTAAATCTCTACTATTTATAATCATATGACCTGACCTGTAAGATGATTATTAATAAAAAGTCAAATTTTATTAAAAACCAATCCAAACCGTTAACTTATATTTCTTATACCTGAAAATAAACCTAACCCATTTATCTCTAATCTTTAATCCTACTCCTTACTTCAAATACTTGTTTAATTTTAAATATATCTTATTGAATTAAAAAATTTCTTTCAGTTATTCCTAGTTTTTATCTTTAATTAAACATTAATTTCCGTGATTTGTATTTTAGTCACGGTAATGCGCAATTTACCAGCGGTAGACTTATAGAATATTGAAGCCGATAAAAATTTGCAATCGCTTTCTTCCCTCTGAAATAAATTATGCATATAAATTCCCTTTTTCAAGATTTTTGGCTCATTTCTTCCTCCCTTCGAAAGTTAAACCGTCGACTGTAAGCTTAACGAAAAAATTAAAGGACAAGATTTATTGAATTTTTAAAATTTGAATTATTTTTTTATTTTTATAAATAAGATGACATTCGATGTCAAAATTTGACATCTTACAAAAAAATCTCACATCATATTTTTAAATATTTTTAGTAATGATAGGCAATGATAAAGATCTATTGAAACTGATAATAAGATCTAATACTGTATCTCTTGATGAATCAGGATTCGCAGAAAATGTCTTAATGTATAACACCAAACCAAAGATTATGACAGATATAATTTTGGAAAGTTATCCAAACTTTTTAGAAGATAATGAAGATATAGAGAGTTTTAGATCTTTAGAAATTAAGTAATTGTATATACACTTTGTAGATAAGAAGTCTTTCTATTTAGCAATATCGGAAAAGGTAGATTTTCTTATAAACAAATTTGTCAGACAGAGTTATTAAATAATAATTGCAAACCTCAGCAAAAAACAATTAATCTAAGGTTTCCAGAAACGAGTAGTAAATATTTTTATATTAGTTTGGATACTATTAATTAACATGAGATACTGATAATCTTTTTCCACTAATTCTTAATAATATACCTATATCAACCTCCCTTATATCTCAGCAATTAATAAATTACAATGAAAACACCTTGCCATTTAAAAAATTCTCTCTTTTGGATGCTGATGTATAATTAAAATTATTCATAGTTTAAAATTGTATATTTTTTTTAGTTTAATCTGGCAAGTATAGATGTTTTAAAACATTTTCAAATATTTTTTCATTTACAAAATTTATCAAACAAACCTCAGCATATCTTTGTAACTATCAAAGAAACTGCCCTTATAAGTGATTTGATTGGATTAGCATGTTGGAAATATACAATTTTGGGAATAGAACCTAAATTAAAGTACATTAGATTTTTGAGATTGATTTTATAAAATAATATTGGCCTAGAACACAGTTTGTTAATTGATCTTTTTTAGGATTAGCCCTTTTTATAAAAAATGAAAATCATGTTTCAGGATTAAGATTTTTTAAAAAGAGATTATACTGGATCTTTTTATGATAACACAAATCATTAGCCACTCCCTCTATCATGATGGTGTGGGTATGATAAATATAATTAGAATCATGTTGGGTTTATGAATCAATAGCATCTAGTGCTCTAAATATTTTTTGCTGAAAGGAATTCACTTGTTCACAAAAATAAGAAATGCAATTTTTAGCCATGCCTGAATTTTTATTTTAGATCAATAATTTGACCCAACCCAATCATATTTTTAAAATTTTGCTATCTTGAATAACTTTTCAAAATGTTATTCAATTGAAAATATAAGCAGTAATGTTTCGTAACTAACTATTGATATAATTTAAATTTATTTTATTTTTAAATCTTCCAGGCCTAGATTTTGACATTTTTAAACCTGAATCGGACTTGCCTGGAATCTTTTTTATTTTTCTGCCTGGGACAGATTCCTTGGCTATGGATCTCTGACAAAAATTAAACAATAAAATAGGATTAAAAAATTCGATGCTGAAAATTTGGCGCGGCAGCAATTCGGTGTGTATTTAACACAGTTGCAATTTATTATAAATTTATTAGTATAAAAAAAAGGATGATTAAATAGAAGTTATTTTATATTTTGGTCCTATTAATTATTTCTTTATATTGTTTTTATAAAAATCTCAATTTTATTTACTAAATGTGTAATATCAATAAAAAAATTAATAATATCATAAAAAAAATTAACAAACTAATATTTATACCGATTTTTTTGGTGGACCAATTTACATGTTATAAGTGTTGATTAGTGTTGTTAAACGGCTCGATTAAGACTTTAGCTAATATGATGTAAGCCTATAGATTTAGCTCATAGATGTAAAAAAGGTTTGGACCTTTTCTTGAATCTTTTATATTTTGGCTGAAATCATAATCGGCCGTTTTAAAATTTGACCCAAATCGAGCTGTTTAACAACACTAATGTTGATCCAGAAAAATTCAAATTAAGACTGACTCATTTTTTAGAATTATTTAAAATCCTTAAAATAAAAATAAATCTATTAATCGTTTTAAAAATAAATATTTTTTTAGGCCAATTTTACTATTATTAAAAAATCAAAAACGAATTAGCTCACAATTTTTTTATTTATTTTTATCATGGGTATTGAAATTATAAATATACTAAAAACAATATATTTCTGGTACGCCCGAGATCAAGAAATATGTATCGGGAACGGGATACAGCTAAAAATATTATATTAATTGTATCTGATTATGTAAATCGTCCGATTACTGATTATTTAAGTAGGATTGCATATAATTTTAATTTACAAAAATATTAAACTATTTTAAATGTTATCTATTTTTTTTAAATGTTCTTTTAAACATATTTTTAGCATGTTTCTTGAATATAGTACATTTATATTTTCTATAGTCATTAATAAATAAATAAATTGTGCGTTAATTCTATTTTGATTATTTTATATTAGAAAAAATTGGCACAAACTTAATATATATTTTTTAAATGATTAATAGAATTATTTTAAGCAATTTAATAAATCTCTATGAGTCAGCTTAATTAAAAAAAATTTTGATCAACATTTAAACGGATTTGGGTATGTTTAAAATGGCCGATTAAGATTTTAGTTAAAATAATGTGTAAGATTCAAGATAGAACTCTTCTTACATCTATGCACAAAATCTCCAGACTTACATAATATTGGCTAAAATTTTAATTGAGCCATTTAACCACACTAATCAACATACCTTTAGTTTTAACATGGTAAATTAGTCCATCAATGAAATCGGTATAAATATTGGTTTGTTAATTTTTTTGATATTACACAGTTAGCAAATAAAATTGAGGTTTTTGTAAAAAATATGAAGAAATAATTCAAAATAATTTTTATTTATTCATCCTTTTTTATACTAATAAACTTATAATAAATTGCAACGGTATTAGATACGCGCTGAATTGACAGTTCGCCGAATTGTCCCTATGCCGAATTGACGTGAAACCTTAATATTAGTCTATTTGATTTAAAAAAATTTTTATCCTATAAAGAAGTACGTTTTATAAAAATTAGAGTTGCTATACTAAAAACGTGTTTCATCTGAACTCTTAATGGTATTGTAGAGTTATATTTAAAAAAAATTTATTTAGCCTGTGTCATAAATATATTGAAAAAAAAACCTCAAAATTTATGAATTTTCATAAATTAATAAAATTATGGAACATGTCCAAATTTTCCATTATTTATTTTTTTAAGAAATAAAGAGAAAAAAACGAGAATAAAATACCTAGTTTTTTCATAAAAATTACCCAAATAAATAAATTTTGAAAACAAATTCAAATTTATTACTATTATTTTTTAAAGAAATAAATTTTCGCAATGCAAATGACGAAAAATGATTTAGAACACCATTTTATTTACATTAAAAATAATGTTATTTTTTTCTTCAAAATTAATAAATTTATATTTATTATATTTAGACACAGCCTAAAAAAGGTTTTTTTTTATTAAACAAAATTTTTAACTTATATTTTTGAATGAGTGCAAAAACGAATATTTTCACTTTCAAAATTCTAAAATAAAAGGAACGAGTTGTTTACAACACTAATAGCATCAAGACCATTTAAAGTATCATTCTCTTTTAGAATATAGATTTACACTCCCCCCCCCCCCTTCCCATTTAAAAAAATAATGATTTCGAGCCTAAATTTTCAAGATATTAAGTACAAATATGAAACGAACTCTTATTTTTTTAGCCCATTTTAGAAATACTGACTTTTTTTTAAATAATTATAACAATTTAAAATTTTATTATCATTATTGATTTTGGCATTCCATTTGCACAGCCTAGAATTAAAACATCTTTCGATTTAAACAAATTTCTTTTTTTATTCTAACCTTCCATATAGGTTATTTTTATCCATGCAATTCTTAATATATTTTATATTTAAATAGAAACTTCAACCATTAATTGGATATTACTTTAATATATTAGTTTACTAGAGATTAAAATTATTTTATTATTATTTAGGTATCAGGATATTAATCATTACGGTTTATTCATTACAGAGGACGATACTTTAGGCAACATTGATCATGACTTTCCAATTTCTGAACACAATATGCCATTACATAAATTTGGTTTCAAATCCCTGGCAATACTTGAAAGCGCTTATGACTCTTAGATTATAATGATATATTTTATTTATTATTCCTTTGGAGTTTTAAGCCACTTTTTGTGTTGAATCAAAAAAAAAATTCAATCCTTTTTCTGAATTTCTTTAACATATTTATAGTTTTTTTTATTTACAGATTTTCAATAATTATTATAATGGATTTCTCATTTTTTTTTATTATGACAATGTTACTTAATATAGATTTTTATATAAATAAAGTTTTTTTAAAAATATGCGGTGAATATCATAAGTTCAAACAATTAAAGGTTATAGCCTAGCGTTTTAGCAAAAAAATAATTAAGTACTTGAGCCAGTTCTTAATATTTTTCCTAGGTACATTGTCCCAAGTTTTAATCTTTATAAAATTTTAAAGTCTTTACTCCGAGTTATTAAATTCGTTAGCTTGCTCAATTTATGAAATATATAAATAACCCTTAATAATGATTATACCTTACACAATTATAAAAGCCTTTTTAAAAAAATAGCAAAAATATATATAAATTAAGTTCAATATAACAAATTATTAACCCTGGTTATGTAGCATTGAGTTACCTATAATAGTTCGACCATATGCCGTAATGTCAGTATAGTATTGGTCATAAAAAATCAATATACTCCACTTGATTAGAAAAAAAATTAAATCTTATTATGTTATATATAGTGCTTCATTTTTATTTTGCTAATATAAAACCCCTTTAAATTTTATTATTACCTGATTTTTTTTGTGACTTCTAGACAGGTGATAAGATTAATGAATAATAATATATTTATTTATATAATATAATGTAAAATACATTGTATAAAAAAATATATTAAAGAAAAATACTCATAATTCATAGAGTGGCACACTTTAATTATAATTTTAATGACCTTTAAATTTATTTTTTTATAATTTCCAAAAATTTATTAAAACTAGATAAGAATTGTTTAAATTTTAAAAATGATATATATAAAATCGGAGAGAAGATATTTCAATATTAAATAGATGAGTTAAACAAAAGTGTTTCTTTAAACTAAAAAAATAAATCTAAAAATTTTATTTTTATTTTATGGCGAATGTATAAAAATTCTTTGGGTTAAATAGTTTTAGTAGTTTTTATTTTTGAACTTATTAAAAAATTGAAAAGTTAGCAAAAATTTCTCATTCGGCTGTGATAGAAGTAGTGTTGTTAAACGGCTCGTTTTGGATTTTTAAAAACGGTTAACTCAATATTTCATCCAGAATAATATTACGCAAGCCTGAAGATTTTGGTTATAGAAAGAACAAAGGTTTGGACATCTATTAGCTAAATCTCGTGGTTTAGGCAATATTTTTCTAGCTATTAGCTTTTTTTAAAAATCGGCTCAAAACGAGTCATTTAACAACACTAGATAGAAGGCAAAGTTTTTTTGTAGCACGCCTAAATAAAATAAAATTGACCTTCATGTCGCCATAAGAGCTAACCATTTAGATTAATTCACAAATGTGTTTATAATTTTATGAAGAAATTTATAAATAAAAATGTAAAATAATTTAACAAGCAGTTTTACGAAATGTGATGGGGATAAAAATTCGAGCAATATGAGAATAAAACATTTGTGCTTTCTATTTATAAAATTTTTGTTTGTAATGTTCAGCTTTGTTTATATAAACCATCGACTATCCATAAGAATTCCAGGTTTGTGCATATAGGATCAGGTTATTCTTCATGAAAATGCATTAATTTGTATTTTATTTAACGATCCTGTAAGGGAGGCTAGGTCTAGTCTACGCTATTTTTGTCAAAATCATCATAGGTTCAAAAATATTCTTGTATTTGAATTTACAAAATACGAGATAGTCCAAACACCTACCTAACCTTATTCATTAATAAATTTTTAAATATTTATTTATTTTTCTCAATATTAATTCTAATAAAAGTCATTTTTTGCACCAACAAGCCCCAAACCTGGGGTTTGTTGATTCAATTATTTTATTAAGTCTCCCATAAGATAATTAATGTTATTATTGCATTATTTTAATGGACAATATTTTATTAATATAAATCAGAGACCTACAGAGGTACCATTTGTACGGCCCGGATTTTATAAAAAAAAAATTTTAGGCCCGGCCCGGATTTTTTGTAAATATATTTTATTTATTTTTGATTTTTATAGCTAATATGGGCGATTTCAAATATTTTGTTTTAAAATATACGGCCCGGCCCGGATATTTTTAAAAAAAAATTTAAAGCCCGACCCGGGTATATTTAAAAAAATTAAAATACGGACCGGCCCGTGTACCCGGGCTTAGGGCCGGGCCTGCAAGTCTCTGATATAAATATACGATTTACATAAAAATGACAAAAATAAAAAATATGTAAAATTTTTTTATTCTTACCTAATTCCATTGCATTTTAATATAGATTTGATTTAAATATATAATAGTAGCCAATAAGTACCTATTTTATATTCATACATAAATATAATATATCATATTTGTAGGCATGATTTGATTAATCCGGCTAGCCCTGAGTCATTAGGCCCTAGTTATTAATATAATTAATACCTTCTAAAATTATATAAACATGTTATATGATTAAGAAACTCTAAAATGCGAAGAGATGTTTTAAATTTTATATAATGTCAATTTTATTTTTTTTAAACTCTTCATATTTGAATGCCACCTTATATTGTAGTGTAAAAACATTTTAATTTTTACCTAAAAAACACATTTTATCATAAAATTTTTTTAAATAACTTAGGGGTATAAGATATTTTTCTCTCCAAATAAACATATACAATGTTATTACATGAATAAATTTGAATTTCTAAACATGTCTGACTTTTAAATAAAATTCGTTAAACCGACAACCCTCTTGTGCCGACTAGCCCTGGTCTCCCCTAAATATTATAAGCATCAAAAATCTTTGATCGTTCGATCCCCAGTTTTACGGCCGGGTTAAGGGATGCGTAATATTTAATATCGGAGGTCACTGTTCGGTCTTTGATCCTGACCGATACACACATAACGGATCACGGTCTTCAGACCGATTCAGATCGTGGTCCAAAATAAAAGACCTGTCTTAATTTTTTTGTTATTTTAAAAATATTTTAGTTTTTCCCTAATTTAATTCTTGCTTTAGCATTTTATATGAAATTTTATATTAACAATATCAAATCAAATATGAATAATATAATAAATAATGCTGATATTTAATTTAAAAGTAAAATGTTTATTGTAAAACTTTTCGTTTTCATAATTTATTGCAAAATAAAAATGAATTAAAAAACTAGTGTTGTTAAACAGCTCGATTTGAGCCGAATTTTAAAAACAACTAGATTTTGCTCATAATTGGCACAAAGGTTTCGACATCTATTAGCGAAATCTCGTGGCTTATTCGGGCGAAAATATTGAGTTAACCATTTTTAAAAATCTGCTCAAATCGACCCATTTAACAATACTAAGAATCACGAAAACTTAAAGAAATACTCTAAAATAAAATAAACACAAAAATTTACTAAAAAATGATATAAAATGAATAGTAGAGCAAGCTTGAATATTAATAAATGACTGATCTGAAAATAATTAAAAGACCAGTCTGGACGGCAGTCCTCGAAAAAAAGACTGCTTCGTCAATCGGTCGGAATTAAAATAGATAGGACCACACCATTTACTTTCACTAATATTTAATATGAGTTTTAAAATATTAATGAGCCAAATATTCAGTTTCATATGGATTACAACTTTCCAAGCATACTGACATGGAGTCAGTTAATAAAAAATATATTTGATTTTTAAGCAGCCTTTCATTAACCCATGAGCCAAATCCAATTCTTGTGTATGATCCTAATCGAAGAAGTTTGAATAATTATACCTCTATTGATCCTAAATACCTTTACAGCTCTAAAATGACTATTTATAAAAAGAAAAGGCAAAAATTTGTAATATAAAAAAATTTTCTCATAAAACCACCTCTTAAAAATTATCGATAAATATAATAATTCTTAAAGTTTAATTGTCAATAAATTTTAAATCTAAATATATTTGTAAATAAGATATAGAGCTATTTATAATATAAAGATTTTTATTCCTTGTAAAAAAAAAATATATAAGTGTTTTTGCCACAATAGAAAAAATAATAGAATAGGTGTTTTTGATATTGGATGTAAGACATTTCTATTTAATATTAGTTTATGAAGCTTTAAGATAATAGAAAACACATTAATAAACTAAACCCACAAATGCAAAAAAATACATTCTGAGAATTTTATTAGTGAAACCGACTTACTAGATAGTAGGTATTTTAATCTGGAATACTTTAGCAAATTAATGTCTTATAAAAAAAAGTTTTTACAAATTTGTTAACTCAGATTTGAGAATTTGTATTTAAATGGAATTTTAAAAGTAATTACTAAAAATAGAGGAAATGTTATCATTGCTCCCAATTTGATTACCAGTTTGGGAATCAAAATGGAAATATAGTTGATATTTCCTGCATTATTAGCAATTTAAAAAACTTAATTTAAATTCAAGTGTTTACTTCCCTGGCATCTACTAATATTAATTTCAAATTTACTAAGAGATGTAAGCGAGATTCCCAATGAGATTTTTGTCCTAGCGATTTAGAACCTATCCCAATTTGAGAACCCCCTCTCATCACAATATATATTCCGAAAAAAATTAAAATCAAATTTTAAGATTACTTTTATTTTGTCTATTAATAATAGATCGTTTTAATTATAGTAAAAATTGCCTCACAGGTAAATATTTTACTTTTTTAAAAAAATATATATATATAGTATATCCTTAACAGCTGCTCATTCTTTCCCCATAATTATGCAAGAATATTTGCGAAATTTGACATTAATTTATCCATAATATATATTGGATAAGTGTGGCTATATTAAAAATAATATTCATAAAATTTACATTAAAATAAAATTATTGTAATATAACCTAGAGTTATCAATTCTAAAAATAAATGTTGAAAATATAGGTATTAGAATATAAATAGCTACTATTTGGCTGACAAGTGAAGTGCCATATGAAATACCTACAATGGGTTTTGGTTTCAACGGACAGATTTAAAAAATATATATCACGAAAAAATTTTCAGCACACATATTAAATTTGTATTCAATAAAGGGAAGGACTACTTTTTTCTTCCTTTGCATCTAACAACTCGTTTCTCAGCTCAAGACCACTTTTGATTTGGATTTAAATCAT